AAGCCTGCAGCTGGAATGGCTATGGGAAGCCTGCAGCTGGGATGGTTTTGGGAAGCCTGCAGCTGGAATGCTTTGGGAAGCCTGCAGCTGGAATGCTATCGCTGGCAGCACTCACCGCAACCGCCTTCAGGGACTGCACAATGATCCAGTGGATTTCATCAAATAATTTGTTGGTGACTTCCTTCCCACGGGTGCTCTCCAGGTAGAGGCGTAAGTTACTCACTGTCCACTTGCCTCCATGGATATGGTTGTAATCATCCTGAAGAGTTAAGGAGTTCAGTCAGTCTAAGATTTCAAAGTTGTTCAGCAGGTTTTCTTCTCATCCCCACAAAAGTCCCCTTATATTTACAAGCACTGCTCTAAAGACAAACTTGGCTAATTGTTCTTGCAGCTTCATGAACACCTTAACTTTGAACTGCCCTCTACATAAACAATTGCTTTTATTATAGCTTTAATATGCTTGTATCACACATCGTAAATAAAGTAATAAATCTTTGTTAGGAGAAAAAAACCTGGCTACTTGGACAGTTTTATACTAAAGTATGAGTTATGATTTGGAAATAGAAGTTTTAAAATGTGAAACAAAAGAACTGAACATTTTGCTCCTCTGGGGATAAGGAAAAAACAATTAATGAGCAACAGCAGAATTTCACTGAAGGTAGCTGTTGTAAAATGCAGCACTTGAAAGTGTTTGTCTGTGTTTATTTATTTAAAGCACAACTTGTTTGTTCCCTGGTATCTTCTTAATGGTGCTACTGATAACAGCCACATTCAAGAACATAGTGACACCTGAATTGTTTTTAAAAGTTAAAATTTTCAAGTGATTCAGTACAAAACCCCACTAAGCATTGCTGAAAATGAACAGGGGGAAACAGGAGGATACCTTATGTTGTCTTTTCAGAAGCTATCAAGGCTGTGCAATATTTCTCTTTAAATGGAAAGACAAGAGCAAAGCGAGGGGTTTTCATACTGATGGAAAGGCACACGTTCAGTCCTCAAGGAACTCTCAGGATAAATGCTTTGTCCCTTTATAAAGTGTTCTCCTCAGAGCATTTCTGAGAATTAATGATTGTATGCCTGCTAAATTACAAAACACAATGCATGGAGCAGAAAAAAGCTCTCAGAAGAACAAATTCTGCTGCCCTCTAGGACAAGGTCAGAGAAGCACCTGTCTCATTATCAGGCTTTCTCCAATAGCTCCCCCATTAGCAAATTTGGAGAACTGAACAACAAATTAAGACCTGAAACATGGTTCTCAAGATTTGTTCCATGATAAAAATGTCATGACACCAGATTCCAGCAAGGGAACAGAGATCAAAGTTTCAGCCCTCTTTGCCCTTCAGATCAAGTACTCAAATCAAAACAGATTGCAATCGGGTAGAACTTTACATAATTACAGTTGTTTCATTAAAGATATTAAAACAAAGTGAAAATAATTATGTATAGGAATTATTGTTGTTTTGTTTGTATTACACACACAATTTCCAGGACCTCATCATACTTTTACAAATTACTGACAGCTCAAATCAGGCACAGTTTTAGAAGACTAAAGCTGTACAGTCTAAAAGCCTCCAAAGTTATAGGCACATTTAAAACAGAACAAATAGGATGGGTAACATACATTAAACTTCTCTTCTGCCTTTCTGCAACACTGAACAGATATCAGTAGTTTACAATTTATAAAAAGCTTTTCAAATATTCTAGTAATAATTCCACATTCTTAGGCTGCTACTTCTGTACTCATTTCTGTTGCCCTTTATTCTAAGTGACGTCACCACCACAGTCCCTTCTCTTATCTGGGAAAAATCTTGAAGGCCATTCTTTAACTGGTAGAGAAGATAGAAGGGTGCATAATAACAAGGCAGGCAATGTATCACACGCCTCACATCTTCTCTGCTACTGGCAACACCACCAGGAGTTTTTCTAAAAGTTGTATGGGACCTGCTTTCACCATAAGTAATTCTCACTGTGCCTGTGAAACCAAAACATGTTTGAAGTACTTCACAAAGCAGCAACTGAACAATAAAATGTTTGTAGTACTGAAAAATGGCATATTTGACCACTTACCCTGGTTAAGAACTATCAACATTATCATTTACATTGTTGTTGCAGCAATATCCAGACAAAAACAGTTCTGCTATGCTGCACATCTTATGGAACAGCAGCAGAGAAGGCATATTAAGCAAGGTTTCAATTTAAGATATATTGCATATATCTTGTGTATGAGTGCATGTGTATACCTATATTAATATAATCAGGAGCATGTGTGTGTGTGTCCATACATATTATTTTCCATACCATTAAAATAAAGCTTCTGGCATTAGGAAGTGCAACAATAGAGTTTTAATGACTGTACCAGAGGCATGGTTTGTAAATCACAGACATCCGCTAAAAACACCAAAGGGACAGTCATTATCAAGTCATTCCCTGAAGGAACAAGGCTTGGGAAGTGACACTGTATCCCCATCTATGTCACCCCTGCCCCACTAACCTTCCCTCCCCACTGCTGAATTGCGGCCTGCTTTGACATAAGGAAGGGCTGTCAAAGCTCTCATGTTTCCACATCAATATCAATGGCAAATTACAGGACAGAACTGTTCTGCAGGCAGAGCTCCAGCTTTGTCCATGCAAGAGGAAGCCACCAGATGGCCAGGCAGCACTTAGTTATCTCAAGTTTGCAACTGCACATTCCCTTTGTTTCCCACAGAAGGAAGGCAGGGGCAGGAGGCTGGGGAAACACTGGAAGAAGCTGGAAAATCCTGTGATGAGTAAGTGCTGGGAAGAAGAAATTGAATTAACTGCCAGAGAGAGAGAGAGAGGAAAGGGGAAATGAAGATGGGGATACTAAACCACTATTTATAAAGTACATAACCACATGATCCAAGCTCATAAATTTCATTGTTCAATTCATAAGTGAGTATATTGCCTTTTAAATTAAAGGAGACCCCTGCTCTCAACTACTGTGAGCCAATACTGAAAATATCACACCAATTACAGAGCTGCAACTCATTATCTTGACTTCTGATTTGTGGTTTTCTAATATGTCCACATTCTAAAATGTATTTATTTGTAAGTGCAAGGTGAAGTATATTAATTGCAAGATGATGAGGACTATGACAAAACCTTTTGATTCCAAGTTTCTGGGACAATTAAAGAAAATCAGTCTTGCCACGAAAGAGCATCTAAGAAATCAGCACACTTACCCCATGTTTCTGAATGGCAACATTTGTAAGATGTACAAACATGTTATCCAGTTCACTTGTACTTGGTGTGTATTTCACTGTGCAAAACCGGCAAAACCCAAGCTTGTACCTTAAATGCAAAAAGTCATTAAAATGTGTTAAGTCCCTGTGAGAAGCAAGGAAGTGAGCATCCTAAGATACCAGTTACAGGTTAAACTTCTTGTACAACATGCACAGCATTATTTTGACTACACTGGACATTATCTCTAAACAAAATACAAAGACAAGCAACCTTACATGTAACATCTCAGTGGACGATAGGTAGACACCAAAACATAGAGACGAAGATCAAATTTCTTTCCACCAATTAGTAAGGGATTGTTGATGTAGAGTGAAATCACATAGGCTTCTTTGGAAGACTGAGACACAAACCTGAAAGACACAAAATGTCTCACAGTATGATATCTGCAACAATACAATCCTTGAAGTCTTTTCTTCTTTAGAAGTGTTCTGTAAATTTCGAGTTGACTGAAATCTTGCATCTTTTGCCAAGACGGTGTATAAAGTTGTGGAGGTTAATAATACACACTTGGCATCAGGCCTTATTTTATAAAAAAGAAAAGGTGAAAATACTGTAGAGATGACCAAGATCAATTACCCATTTAAACTCACACAGTAGCTGACCAAGCCATTCACAATGCAGCTCTACAAGCCAGTCTTTTTCCCTTAAAGAGAATTTAGAGCTTGGCACAGTCCAGACAAGCAAAAAGAATGTAGTGCATTACCTTCATTATTCAAGGTCTTGTACTACTGGAATATTTGCATTTCTGCTTGGTGTGCAACTGCAAACCACTGTGAAAAGTTAATATAACTTTCAGATTGTGACATTCTTCAGATTCCAATCAGACAGGGGGAAAAATTAGCCAGTCACTTGGTCACAGGAAAAACCATTAGTTGTGTGATCAAAACTTCTAGTCAGAGAAAAACATAAAATTGCTAACCTATTTCACCCATTTGGAAGGAGATCGTCAACATGAGGTATATTATTTTGTGTTCCAAAAGGAAAATACATTTATTTCATAGAAATGAATTCATCTTTTGTACCAATTTAAAAAGTGATTTAATATATATTAAACAATTATTGAAATTGCTGAGGGGAAGATTTTTCTCTTGCTTCCTGTTATTTAATACTGTGAAGCAAAACAATTTCTTTCTGTGCAAGTTTTTCTCCAACAACACTGAAAGTAATTTTATAAAGAATATTAATTGAACAGTTCTGTGTACGTCCTCATACCAAAACAAGCTGCATTATAACCTGTTGAAGGAGGAAGCCAGATAACAACTGAGATTAAATGCAAACCTAACTATGAAACGACAAAGCAATCATAATAATAATGGCATACTTTTCCCATGCATCAGGCAATCAGCATGTTGATGCAGTTCACCTAATTACAGAAAGTACAATAAAGGGTTTGGTTTCAAGTACTTACGAAGATGTTTTGCTGTCTCGAGACCATTTTTTTATTTGGGAGAGTTTGTTGATTAGAAATATTCCTTTTCCTTGAGCTTTGCCACAAGGTTTCATAATCCATGTGCTGGAGGGATTCTTTCTGAATTCTTCAACAAAGAGATTATAATCGGCAGGAAGCATAAAAGTCACAGGAACAAAATCTGAATTAAGGGGGAAAAAAGGGTGCACAATTAAAGACACTCTACCTGATAAGGCTACTGACACATAAAGACTAAAAAAGCAAAGTTCTGTATTTTCAGTTTTCTAGTCTGGCATGATCCACCTTCATTAAGACTCATGTTACTTTTTATCTCATTTCCATACTAGTTTTTACTTAAACAATTGCAAAATGTTGCACAATGCTAACTTCAAAGTAATAGATTCTAATTCACGTGAATAGATTTTCTTCTTCCATTTATATGCTGTGCCATTGCAGTATTAGATACCATTTCAACAAAACAATTAAAATTTCTCAATTTCCTTGATCAGCTTCCACCATTCTTTATCATGCTCTGTGCAGGCAAAACTCCCCTTTGGCTCAGTAATTTTTATTTCCATGTAACTCCCATTATTCTTAATTATTATATCTTATTCTGAACTCCTATTATTCTGCTTTGCTCCCACACTTAGTTTTACCATGATTACTGAAACCTAAAGAAAAACATTTCTCACTTTTTGCTATTAAATTATCTTCAACTCCATTCTTGAAGACTTGCCGTCTTACATGGATGAAGTGTTTTCATTTCACTTTTCCAAGATGTAATTCAACTCCACATATCTCACTCTGTTTCACTTCAATACTTTCTGACTCCCAAACCAACTCCGTTTTCCTCATTTCCTCATTCATTAGTTTTGGGGTTTGACTTTCTTGGGTATTTTTTTTTTGTCTGGTTTGCTTTTTATTTTTTAGCTGTCCTTATTAGTTCCCCATCTTCTCCCAAATTTCCCCTCTGAGGTGTTTGTTCATTCAGTTCTGTCTAGTCTTCCTTCAAAAAGGTTTAGTTGTTGCTCCATTGTAAGATTTTCACATAATAGTTTTTCACTTTTGAATTAAAGAAACTGTAACCCTCTCTTATGTGAAGTAACAGAGCCCTTTGGTTTCACCACTAACCTAACTGCAAAGTATCTTAAACCCACAATTTTCCCTCTCCAAAGTAACTTTTGAGAAATCCCAAATGAATCAAACCAAAAGAGGAACAGAGCACTTCAAGGTAGCCACTTTAATGTCATAACACTCCAGAGGTTCAGTGCTTCACACACAAAAAAGCAGGTTCTCTTCCAATTATTGACTCTCTAAGAAAAGAGACGAATGCTGACAATAAGAACAACATACCCAAATAAATATATTTCCCATTTTCATCCTTTTCTGCAAGAGGACTTCCTTCTTTCTCAAGTTCTTTTCTGTATCTCTTGATATTCTTTACCATCAAATCTTTTCTGGTCAGCTCATAGTGGTTTGGGAAATGATTGACAATTTGGTCATCGGAGAGGCGGTAACCGGTTTCCACACTGAACACATTTCTGATTGTTTGGACGCTCATCCTGAAACCAAAGACAGACACCAAGTGATTTCTCTCAAGAAACACACTTCAGGACGACAAATCAGAGATCTTTTCCCTCCAATTTCTTCATCTTTTCTCTCTCTTGTTTCTTTTTATATTTAATATTTTGCTGCAGTGACAATCCAACATATCCTGAAGTTCTATTAACAAAGCAAATGAAATCCTGCTGAAGGTTTAATCAGTCCCTCCACAACCACTGAAATTGGTGCAGGAAGTGAGGACAGAAAGATGACAAGTGGGTCCTGCTGGACTTTGGCTTGTTGATAGTCAGGTCAATCCCCAGAAGGGCCTAAAAATGACTGAAGTGCACCCAAAAGCTACAGAATCCTCTTTTAAATCTGTTACTTCACACTCTTGAAACTCACCTTTCCTTATCAGAAAAACCACAAACCAACCTCTTATTGACTGCCTTGCTAACTGGATTACAAAAGGAATTCAAACATGTGACTTGAAAACTGCTTAAGAGATCTTGCTAAAAACACCTGTGTCGTTGAGTTATATACCAGATAAAAGTGCTGCAGTGACAGTCATTAAATCAGTTATCAGCTACACTTTTCACAGAAGATAAGAACAGGGACATAAATACAAAGAATTTTCCATATTAGATGTCTCAATGCAAAAATTTAAGAATATTTTCTGAATACTAGCAATCTGCTACATTATCATTTCAGAAAGAAAAAAAACTAACCCAAAACAATACAACACAGCAATTTCCATGAGTGTTTCCCCACTCTCCCAACTGCATTCCAAAAGCATGAGCAGATTCCTGCCCATTTAGATTCCTGTCCATTTAAATAAGTGGTTCACAAAGGGTACATTTGGCAGCACAAACTGCCATTCTGATGCATTTGAAAGGAACATCACAAATAGTTTCATTTATTTAAAAAGCACTGTTTCTGCCCATTAATAGATTACTGCATTCTAGGACAGCATTTCATGGGCTTATATTAGACAAACATCAAATCCAAAGATAATTTACTCTCCTCCTTTTACCACAATCTTGGTCTAATTTCTCATTCACTCTCAGTATTGACATGTTGAATAGTTAGCCTGAATACAAATCATTATCATGAAGAGAAGGAAAGTACAGTTCATTACAGAAGTTTGGACTCTAGTAACAGGGCAAGCCTCTATAACACTGATAAAAGAAATTGGGAATTATAGCATACTTACCAATAAAAATTCCAGTCTTCATTTTCTGCCACCTGAATCCATCCTCTTTTTTCAAAGTTGTTTATTAGAACAGATTTTTCTATGTCAGTTACCCACTTTACTTTTCCTGCCATTATCCCAAAGTGGAATCAGCCTGTTCATACAGAAAATTTTAAAGTTGAAAATAGGAGAGGATACAGGGAAGTAAAAGCAGAAGAAAAATGGCACCTAGAAAACATTTCTACATAAGTATTATCAGCTTAAAACCCAAGGGAAAGAACACCTAGGCTCAGACTGAAACCCTGCACTTCTCAGCTGGAGAACTGCACACAAGGACACTGGTTACAGGGAGGGTTTTCACACTCCCCATCTTTTATAAACAGGCACAAAACCCTCCCTTAAATAAACTACTGACAGAACCTCCCTATTCTACATTGAGTAAAGTTTAAAGAACCAATACAGACCTTGCATTGTTTCTAACTTAGGAACATATATTTTTGCTTTCTTTTGAAGCAGGAAGTTCATCTGGTTCACGTGGCGCCTGTAGAATAAAAACCCATGATTCCAAGAGAAATCCCTTACAGCTCTATCAACAATCAAGACTTGCAGTACCTCAGGGGAGGGAACTAAAGTGACTGACCTTGCAACTGGTGCCATTAAACCCTTACAGGAGGATTTCCCTAAACGTCAGGCTGTTAGTTGGGCGCTTCAAGCTGCAGTACAGCTCCTGACACCAGATGTCACTTTCTGCATTAGATCTTTCACTGGCCCAGGTCAGCCTTTTGTTAGGATCACTGACCATTCTGGCAGGAAGGGATCCCAGCAAGTCCCCTGGTTCAGCCTCCTGCTCAGCACAGGGTTAGCTACGAGGTGTGGGCAGTTTGCTCAGGGCTTTACCCATTTATGCTTTGAAAAGCCACAAAGACACAGCACAGCTTCTCTGGGCATCCCATCCCACTTCCTCACTAACCTAATGGGGGTAGGGGGTGATTCTCCCTATATTTTTATTATTTTCCCTAGATTTGTTATTATTTCTTACATTACTTTCCCAAGAATAAAACTCACTATGTAAAGGAGTGGGAGGGAGCTGGGTTATCACACACCCACAAGCAACATCATCTACTGCTCCTTTTACACACAACTTTCCATTGAAAAGGAAATTAAAACATAAAAGCACCTTTACTAAATGTAGTAATGTAATTAATGAATGTTAATTCAATTTCATAATAATGCCATTTCTGCAAGTAACATGTTGGACTGGAATTCAAGGTGTCTTCATTTTCCAGGACTAGACATGGGAATGTACATTTACCACCAAACTCAGGCCCCTATTGTTTGTTTCTATAATCCCACACAGACTATTTATCCTGTCAAATCCTACAAAGCCAAAATGTTTATTAACAAACTTCAATTTGAGAAAGTTTAGGACACATATATTTTTATTCATGTTGGTAAGCAATCTGAAATCAAGCTTGGATAGAAAAGAGTATACAAAGGCTCAGGGTCTATCTTCCTGTGTGTAGACCTTAGTTCTCCAAGGTCATGATCTTTCTCTGGGTCTTCCAGATTTTACCAGAACAAAAGTAAATGAAACAATTAATTTATTTGTACTGAAGTTGGCATAACCCATCATCAGTGACTCAGTAATACCACACAGCACCTTGTTGTGGTTTTAAAAGTTCAGGGATTAGTCTGCTGCGATACAATTGTCCCTTCAAAAGGAAACGCATTAAAGGCTACAATGGTATTAACCAACCACAATGTAAACTTTTCAAAAGCCTTTAAACCAACATTCTTCACATCTCCAAGCTACCTCAAGAGGTTCACCAAAATTCAAACCTAACATTGTACTGTTTCTCTGACTCCTTGAGCAATTCATACAGGAAGGTGAGCTGAAAGTAAGCCAGAGCTAAACACTGGAGACAGCTTTTACCAGAAATAAAAAAAAAAAAAAATTACAGGAGCACAATTCTTTTCCTGTTTTGGGATCTTGGTGCCTCATCTATCCCTCCTGCTACAGAGGAATCGAAAGCAGACTGAAAATTCATCCTTGGTTTCTGCAGAATTTAATCAATCTCAGATGATGTTTAAGTGGCCTGTAAACAAAATCCTCCAATTTTGTAGAAATTGATTGCCGAAACCCACAAACAAGAATGCACAACAAATAATATAATTTTAATACAATGTACTTTTCTAGAGGAATCCTCTAACGTGGAAAGAGGTATTCTAGATAACCCGATGAGATTCCACAAGATAGATGCACACATTCACATCACAAAAGATGCACACATTCAAACTTCTGATCAGCTGAGATCCTTAGTTTCACAAAACATCAAAGAGCTGCATAACACAGCCGTAGCCTACATATTTGTATTAAGTCAAATCCTTCACGAAACACCAGAGCTCCTACTCAAGAGACAGCAGACGTGACAGAGGCACAGCAGGCCTGTGACAGAGGCACAGCAGGCCTGTCACTTCTCCAGAACAGGGCCTTTTCTGCCCAGACTGCTCCCACGGGCAGCAGGGAAGCCTGGCAGCAGCCTGACCCCCAGGTGATATCTCTGGCTCTGGTACAAATCGATGAAATGAGACCCAAAAGCAGCCTGGTTGGCATCACCGCCACTCTAAGGAGCCCGTGGTGCTGATGATGGCAGACTTCACACCGCAAAATAGGGGTGAAGCTGCACCTCCGGCACCCGACCCAGCAACCGCTGCTTCCTTCCAACAGTACAAACTGTGCTTCATTATTTTTACTACTGAAAATCCACTTTGGCTGTGCCATCAGAGGAGGCCAGGAGGGCCTGCTGCGAGATTCCCGAAGAGTTAGGGAACCTCCTAGGGAGGAGAAGGAGCCCAAGACTCAAAGAGCCACACGGCTGTGTGTGCCCGGGTGTGTTTGGGGTGATGGAGGGGTGTGCATTTCTGTGTGCGGTGGTGTGTTTGTGTGCATGTGTGGGCTGTGTACGTGTGGGTGTCTGTGTGGATGTCTGTGTGTGGGGAAGGAACGTGTGTGTGTGTCTGTGTCTGTGCGTGTGTGCATGTGTGGGGATATGCGTGGGTGTCTGTGTGTGGGGGTGTGGATATGTGTGTGTGTATGTATGTAGGACAGGTACGGGGCTG